GTGCCGTCGGGGGTGCGACCCCCCCAAGCTCCGCGCGGCTGCCCCTTGGAAAGGGGGTCGGCATCTTCCCCGCGGGAACCTCCTGACCTGTGCCTGCACCGCTCAGCCCTGCACGCTCGTCACCGACGGGCAGATGGGTGCCCGTGGTTTAATGACCATCACGGCAGCGTGGAGGTCGCTGGCACCCTGTACCTGATGTTGTCAATCAGATGCTGGTGGGACTCCTGGGTGAGGACCATGCAGAGGGCGTAGGCCAAGTACTCCACCTTCCGCTCTGCCGCGTACTGCTTCAGAATGGTGAACACCTTCTCCTTGACCTCTGGCTGGTCACCGAGGATGTCATCCACCTGCAGCACGGGAGCCGGGAAAGAAGAGGGAAGGGGCATTGAGCAGCAGAGCAGTTAACCGTGCGTACGGAGGCACTAACGGTGCAGAAAACGTGTCCATCTCATTGCAGCACCCGGTCAGCCAACGAGGAGGGAACCCACGCGGGGAGGAAAGCGAAACTTCAGTCATCAGCCCGTCACGCGGCACTGCTGGGGCCTTGCACGTCCCTGGTATCGCTGTTCTGCGTGTTATAAACATTGCACTGGAAACAGCGGTGTGACAGCAAACCCCGAAACTCTGCCGGGTCACAAGTGTCCCTGCAGGAGAGGCTCTATGGCATGGCTGGGTGGGGAGCCGGTGCATCGGTCTGGAGTCTACCTGGCAGAGGACACCGCAATGGGCTTTTGGAGGTGTTTAAGCCTCTAATCACACCGTGATCCTGCCAGGCGGCACCGTCCCACCATTAATTCCGGGAGGCTGCAGGGAAGTGGGGAAAGGGAGTGTGAACGTGAGCACCAGCCCTGGAAACAGCAGCTCCCAGCCACTGTCCTGTCCTCTCCACCTGTGACAGCCGTGACAGGCAGAGTAATTAGCTAATTACCATCCAGCCAATTACCCTGCATGGGACCCTCCTTGTTAGCCTCTTCCCAGGCCAGGGGGCTGTCCCTTGCCCTGGGGCTGTGCTGGGCAGCGGGTGCTGCTGCTTTGCCTGCAGCCTGGCGGGGTGCAGCAAATACGTGCGGGATGCAGAAAACTCCTTGTTGACCACCCTGCAGCGTTGGGTTTTCCTGCAAGGAGATGGTTTTGTGCTGACAGCAGGTTCAACCGCTTCCCTCCAGCTCTGTGAGCACAGGGGGAAGCAGCAGCGAGGGGAGGGGAGCCCCTCGCCCTTCCCCAGTGCGTGTGTGTGCACCCCTGCGGCAGCACTGCGAGGGAGCCAGCAGGCATCGCCCGGCCAAGCACCCTGCGCCGGCTGGGAGAGGCCCTTGCCTAGGGAAGGGGCAGAGCAGCTTCCTCCAGGCGTTTGTCCCACTTGGCCGCTCCCCGGGGAGGGCCATCGCCGGCGCTGTGACCCCCAGAGCAACCCTCCAGGTGCTCCTGGGCCGCCAGGCGAGTTGCTGCGGGGGCTCCCGGCACCAGCAGCGCTTCAAGGTTACCAAATCTGGGCCAGCCAAGGCAGCTGCATCCCCCAGGCGGACTCGCATGCTTTTCAGTCCCAAGGTCCAGCACAGAAATGACAAAGACCGTGGTGTTCCTGGTGAGCTGAATCCCAGGATGCTACTGTTAAATTTTTGCCTGGGCTGAGACCAAAGGGCCTGGCGGGCGGGAATGGGGGGGTGCTGCCACCCCTCATGTCAGTGCAGTCCCCAGCGTATCCCCAAGTGCGCAGGGGACAAGAGGAGGAGATGTTGACCTGGAACCGAGACCCTGAGCACCTCCAGCGCTTTCGGTGACGCCCCCAGGCTGCCGGGACGCTCGGCTCACGCAGCCCGGCTCCAGCCGTGGCCCCCCTGCCACCAGGCTGTCTGCCC